ACACTACACTACACTACACTACACTACACTACACTACACTACACTACACTACACTACACTACACTACACTACACTACACTACACTACACTACACTACATACATTCATGCATGCATACATACAGACACACACACATAGATACATAGATACATTATAGATACATAGATACATAGACACATAGATAGATAGATAGATAGATAGACAGACACATACATACATACATACGTACGTACATACATACACATACATACGTACGTACATATATAGATATATATAGATATACATAGATATACATAGATATACATAGATATACATAGATATATAGATAGATAGACAGATAGATAGATAGATACATACCTACATGCATACATACATCCATGCATCAAAGAACCCTTAGGATAAAATATATACATGCATCAACACATACATCAGCACATAATTTTTGTAGGCGTGAGCAGAATCACATATATATATATATACACATTCTTTTTTGTGTGCATCAAAGTGTGAGTCTCCACTTTTCGTCTGTCTGATTGGCACTTTGTCGGGTCCACTCACGGTCATTGGAAGCTCTCAACTCTCATGTTTCTTTCATTATTTTTTGATCTTTTGATCTTTTGTCTGAAGTGATTCTGTTTTTGAAGTTGCTGGTAATCCTACTGGAGGTGATTTCACAGCAAGACTTGGGTGGGAGAAGATTTGACTATAGACTATGGATTGTGGAAGTGCCGCACCCCAAGGAAACCCAAAACCATTGAATTTTGTAACTTGATGAGCACTTTGTTGACCTTTAGCGTCTACCACGAAGATTAATACTTCTATGTTTCGTTTGTGACCGACTCCATCTGATACAAAGGTGGCGTTAGACCTGATACATCTGATACGGTTTGATCACCAAATAAGTATATACTCGAACAGGGCTCCTGGTGCACTTGAACATGCTTTTGTACTGCATTCCCAGGCTCTCAGCTACGTGGACCACCCAGAACCAGATCTTCCTCCAGCTCGCCCCGCAGCGGCGCGCCCGTGCGCCGCGACGGCAGCGCCCTCCGCAGCACGAGCACCGGCGACGTCCACGGCAAGACCTGCAGCTGTGGCCACTGCACCGGCACGAAGTGGTCGAAAGCAAGGCTTTGGAGGTGGGTCGGGGCTGGGAAGCTTGGGAAATTCGTTGCGGTCTTGAGTTCAAGAAGGCTCCCAAACAATTCAAAACCTTGCTCGAACTCTCAGAGGTGACGAAGAAAGCGCGACTGGAGGTTACTACGACAAGGGTGCAGAGGAGTCCCAGCCTTTTTCGATGGGCCAGAGGGCTGTCGCTGTGACTGTTTTCTGCGTGTCATGCAAAATGATGGTAGTTATCTAGCAGGTAGAAGGTGACAGGGACAGAGAGGGAGAGGTAGAGATTGAAGCGTCCTTCTTCGTTGGAGGAGAAGCGCGTCGATCTGGAGGATGGCAAAGCCAAGACCTTTCGGGTCGCTTGGGCAGAAGCATGACCCGTCCAAGCCGTAAGAACCCATGTCCGCGGACCGAGTTGGTGTGTGTGTTTTTCCTATTGGCACCTTTTTTTTCCTGCTGGTTGTTGCTTTTATTTTTTCTTTTTTGTCAGTTGGGAGTTGGTTCTGTCAGTCTTTGCGAGGAAAAAGAGAGCGGAGCAGACGTCGTCAGTTGATGAGTCGGTTTGCATCATCCCTTGACGGCTACGAACCAAGGAGCTACAAGCAGAGTACACGCACCTGTACAGCCCCCAGGATTGGATCGATACCCGCGCGAACGGAACAGGTCTTCCGGGTCTGGATTCCCCGAAAAAGAACGACGGACAGGGGTCATGTTTCCATTCTATGCGATCCGCATTCTTTTTTGTGTTTGCGCCTATCGACATATAATGAAACAAGATGAAACATATCATACCTGTTGTGGCAGTCCTTGTTCCTGGAACTCGCGAAGGAGATCTTGGAATATTGGAACGAGTGTGAGATTCCAGCCGCGAGTGCACCTGCCCCACCAGCCACGAAGTCGGCAGCGAAAAGCCAGCCTTGGGGAGCCGGGGGCAGCAAGTTACGCTTCTGAGCCGGACTTGGAGATGTGACAGATGCTGCCGCCAGCCCATGTCCAATCAACATTGGCCCTTGCCTTGGGGAACACGAAACGGCTTCTCAGATTGCTTTCTTGGCATGGGTGGCTTTTCGATATCTCGCTCGCATTTTCCAGAAAACGCTGCGCACGGTTTCGGCCGCGCGAAGCACGCTGCGCTGCCTGCAGCGAGCCGCAAAACCGCCCTGCCAAACGGACCGCCCCCGCACCGAGAGTTTCGGAGCCTGTGAACGACCTTTCTCAGCTGGTCAAACTTCTGAACCCGAAGTCCCGAAGACTGAACCCGAGCGGTCGGAGCCCGGAGATCCGAGGTGTGAACGGGGTGTTGAGTTCCGAGATCCGAGGGAGACAAAAGCGGCCTATTTTCGGCTCAAAGTCACCCCATGAGCAACAGGATGACCGGTGGGTGCATCAAAACAGGCTCAGGACAAGGCACGTTCTCAATGATGGCCTGTATTGCATGCGCCCACTGAGCCATGAATCACCAACTTGCTTGGAAGATCTTGGAACTAGCCCTCAGCCCCGCCACCCCTCCCAACCCAAAAACAGTTAAACTGTTCCATACTTGTCCCTTTGTTAAGACAAAAGAAAACCACAAGCCAACCCATCTCTGAGAGAACCGAAAACCACCAACTTGGTCCCCTGACCATCCCTCGCTACAGCTGCCCCTGTGCCGCCCGACCGCCTGTACAGAAAAATGTGGTCGCTTCTGATGGAATTGCTCGCGCTCGGAGGGCTTCTTTCCGGCATTCACTGGAAGGTGAATCTGGGAGTGCAGCTTGGTTGAAATGTAACTATCAGATGCTTCAGCCTGTTAGGGCAAGCTTTCTTGGGATTAGGTGGGGCTCAGAGGAGCTACCAACTGATCAGAACATCGGCTCATAGTGACTGCACACACAGATGGACACAATGGATTCCTGGTAAGGACACATTTTATTGGAACACGTTCTATTTGGAGGTGTCAAACCCTTCAATATACAGTACATATAAAACCATTTGCAAGCTTGTCACCATGTAACGCTGTTCAGGGAAGGGGGAGGTTCACGCATGCAAGTCGTCGTGGTGAAGACCCGTCTGTACAGACCCCCCCAACATCAGAGGGTCCACCTCCTACGTCCGAGGTGTCTCGGACGCTGGCTCTGAACGGGGCAAACGGGTCACCGGTGGTTCGTGGTCACATCCGGGTCACCCCAGTCGTGCTGGCGCAGACGTGGCTTCTGACGTGGGCCTTGTTTCAGCGATTTTTTGGAGGCTTTCGCAGACAGAGGAGAGAAGAGCTCCGAATCAAAGGATCTTCATATATCTTCATCGGTCGACTCGCGCTGGGAAGCCTTCTTCGGTCTTGGTGAATCGACTGAGGATGTCCCTGTTTTTTTACTATTCGAATGAGCGCTCGGTTCTCCATCGCGAGCTCATAGAGATGGTCTATTGGGCGTTGATGTATGCTTGGCAGCTGGGACCGGTTGGGACAGGATTCACCCTGAGGGTCGGAATTGGCTTTGGCACCTGGATGCCCCTGGATCAGCTAGTGATAGGCTGAAGGGCCCTTCTGATGGCCGCCCTCTGAAGAATGGCTGGTGTTCCAAAGTTCTCATCCCCGACTTGTGAAGTGAAGACTCCCACACGCAAACAGAAGGACCATGTCCAACTATCTCTCTATGTATACAGGCTTCAGCGTCCGGTTTGGACGCCAGCCCGAGGGTGGATGGAACCATTCGGTGTGAAGACTAGCTCATGTTCTTGTCTGTTCAGTGTGGGACCAGACTCCTGAGACGTTCCGCGCCCGTGAGGGAGGAGCGACGGAGGGGCTGACCTCCTTGGCCGACCGTGGTCGTGTCGGTCTTCTTTCAGGGACAGTCTTGGATGGGAAGAATAGAGTAGAAGCATGGCGAACGCATCAAGCATGGCGTTCGTTTGTTTTCGTGAGCCGTAGGTCTTTCTCACCAGAAATCCAAGAAGCCACCAGAGACCGCAGCCGAGAAATTCAAGATTCACTTCACCAAGGTTTGGATTTATTTTCATTGGACTTCATGCTCCTCGGCCCTAGACGCGTCTTCATGCGCTTTTTGGGGGATCTCACGGATGTCCCGCGGATTTTTGAGGGAGTACAGAGTACGGTGCGACGCTCCGGAGGCGTTCTCCGCCGAGAGGAGGTGGGGACGATGGCTCTTTGGCATTCTTCTGCGTCGAACGTTTTGATATGTGCATCGACCAGCACCACATCGCTAGAGATAACCCCGGCTTCTCTGGACAGTGTCTCACCACGATCAAACTCCAAGCAGGTCGAACACATGTGTGTTCGACCCCGTTGGCCGGAAATCCCGTTTCTGAATCCATTGAACTCCTTTTGAACTCATCTTGAAATCCATTCATCTATAGACATCATCTTAGTCTCACCGCCCAAGACTCCCAACAAAGTATTCTCCCCAACACCTGAGGATTTACCCATCCTTCAACTTGGGGCCTTCAAGTCGATCTTTGGATCTTTGGCTGACTTGATCATCGCAGCTTGGCAACCGGGCCGTCGGGTGGCCGTCTTTTCTTCGTGCGCGGAGTCCGCGGAGTCCGTTGGGGGTTGGGGATGATGATGGGTCGGAAGGTCGGAAGGTCGTGTTTTCTTCTTGTTTTTCAATATACTTCTATATTTCTATTTCTATTTGGTTCCCTGCACAGGTGAGGGTCGCGAGATTTGATGTCAGATTTTCTCTTCTTGGGACCTGGGGGGGAGTTTTCCTGTGTGCATGGGCTTTGGTGACAACTTGGACTGTTTGGAAGATTTAGGTGGGATGGAAGAGCCCCCCTCATTGTTGGATTGGATTCGGCAGCCTTGAAGAGGTCAAGAGCTATACGGAGCTATAGGTGTTTTGGCCATCTAGCAAAGGTGACCCGGTGAGGGAACAAACACCAGGTGTTCTTTGTGGATTGATTGTTCTTTTTGGCTTCCGGGAATTTTGGCTCCTGTTTCTTCTTGGTGCTTTTTATGTCTCTAGCCGTGATCATGCATTTTGTGGTCTCTTTTCGGTGTCTAGTTTGTCTGTGATGTGTGGACAACTCGGCTGGCGGCTTGGTGTTTTGCGTTGCCGGGCTTGGTCAGCAAGGACATCTTGGTGTGGGGAACCAAAGCCACAACATCTAAATGACACCCGTCACCCTTGGGGTGATGTTTTTATTTTCATTTGGATGTCTCAAGATAACTGGGGTGTTCTATGTCAAAGCCATAAACAAGAACAGGTCAAAACCCAAGCCATGACCTTGTGATGCTCTTGGATGGTTCATATTCGATCCAAAACGCCTCGAATTGGGGATGCATTGTTCCCTGGTCCCGTTCCGAATCTCTTCCGCCTCTCGTCGGTGAACAACAGAAACCCCAAAGGCGAAGCCATGAAAATAGCCGGCGCTGAGGCGTGTGTCTTCAGCCTTTGTGGGGTTTGGGCCCATACCACGGCTCAGAACGATCGGCTTCAATCCTCGATCCAGGCACGTTCGGTGGTCCAACGCCGAATTCCGGGGTTTGGAAAGGGGTGAAATTCGAAAGTCAGCCTGACAGGAGCTGTGTTGCAACAGTCTCAAGGATGGTGTCGCATTTGTTAAGGCCGGTCACTGGTCAGCCTTCTTATCTAAATCACAATTTCTTTTTCTTGAAGGGGTATCGGATCCTTTATCAGTCACCTGCGTCGTCTTAGGTCGGGGGTCGTCGTCCTCATCGAAGCCATCATCCACTGTTGGTGAGGGGGAAATGCTTGAGCTAGCTGAGCTCATGTGAGCCATCCGCAAATGATCTGTAAAGGCACAGGAGGATCCTTTGACCCCACCTCTGTCCTCAAGCCCTCGGTCGAAGTAGTTGGTAGCGAAGTAGGGTGGAAGCAGTTTTACGAATTGGGGCGCAGATGTCTTATCAATTGTGTCAAATGGGAAGCTCCCTTTAGTCCGAATTCCTTGGTTTCATTTGTCCCTCCTGTGTGGCATCCATGACAGGTGGAAGGGCGCTTCCAAAATGGTTTGAGTCCCTGGAACCAGTGGAATTGTTTCCCCCACTCTCGGACCTGACACTTGTGGCGCGGGTCGGCGCCGGTGGAATCGATCCGCCCGCGGAACGGCCGGTGAGTGCAGGAGCTCGACCTTCGGATGCTGGTGGATAAGCAGCATGTGGAGACGGGCGCCTCGCGTTTCACCGTCTATTGTGCCTTGCGCAGGTGATGGTGAGACGGACGGAAGAAGAGTGGTGGTTCCGGGTTCCGGCACCGAACACGGCGGTCTACTCTGAGTCTGTGGCTGTTGTTCTGGAATCTAAAAGAGGGGTAATAATCAGGAGGACTTCGCTTTTTGAGTTTCTTTTGTAGGAAAAATCCGGATCGATGCTACAGCTTCTTGCTTGGCCACCATTGGCTCTTTGTGATCGAGTAAATCACGGCCACAGTTCCTCCTTGAGTCAACATTGCTGATCAATCAGTTCCAAGTTCCAATTGCGCGCGAACCAGAAACAAGGGACACAGGTTACTAGAGGCTACAGTACTTCTTCGTGGCTCACACAAGACCCATCAGGCCTCTGCTGAAAACTCACGCACTGACTGTCTTCACGTACGACTGCCTTCTTTTTCGGGTGCAACAACTGCTGCTGCTGCTGCTGCTCTGGTTGGTGTTGTTGGATCATTTCTATTCCAGGGGCACGCCTGCTTCAAGTCCGAACTCGGAACCGCAGATGATCCACACGCGGGTAACAGGAACAACAAAGATCTGACAGGCTAAGGGTGATCCAGGCTAAGGATCGGTCATTGGACACTCCCTCCCAGAGGGTCCTGGTATATATAGTTTAGCCGAAATATCGCCATACCTCTCCAATTCTTCGCGTCTCTGGATCTAATTGATATATTCAGAGGTTCGATGGCACAGACTTGGCACAGACCCCATTGATGTCTTTCCAGAGCTTCGATGGGGGGTCTATGAGTCAATCAAAAAAGACACACCGGACCTATCCGCCCGGAGGTATTCACCGTGCCAGGTGCACCTCTCTCCGGTGCACCTCCCAGGTATTCAGAATCTCATCAGCCAGCGGAGTACCTCTTCGGGTCAGCTGCAACGGCTGGTGGGCCGCTCGGGCCGACCCCCCTCTGCCGGCGCACTGAAACGGGACGTCTTCAGAGAGACGGCAACAAAAGAGTTCCAAGGTTGACGGTTTTGGACGGTTTGGCTTCTGGACTTGGGGGTTTTGAGTGCATTTTTTGGTGCTTTCCACTAAGAGTGCTTTTCTAGTGGTTGGCATCTGGAGCTGCGGGAATTACTTGGAAGGTCACTTTGGGTTTGGTTTCGTTTGGGCTGGAACATTTATGGAATGTTTAAAGCTGCAGCCATATGAATTTTAGAAGGCGTGCGACTTGATTGGATGGCCAATTTTCCCACCAACTGCGTTCACCGCATCCAACTTTGACTCTTTCAACCTGGCGCAACCAGCGCTGGGAAGTTGTTGGTCCATCAGTTGAAAGGGACTCGGGTAGCTGCTAGCCAGGGCATTCTGGGTGATCATGAGGACGAGAGAAAGGCGGACAAGGAACCCTGCTGGGAAACTACGAAAATCCTCAGCTGTTTTTCTGATTGGTCTGGACCTTCGTTTTACGTCGGACAGTCCAAGCAAGTGGGCTTTCAGCCCGAGGGGTTGAAGACCAAGAGACTCACACGATCTGGATCGACTTGCAACACCCAAGCAGTGACTGGAAGCTTGTTTCATGTGCTTCCCAAACTCCTGGCAGATCCACAACCACTACGTATACCTTCTGGACTCGCTTTTCCGGAGTTCGCGGGGGGCGTTTTGACCGGTGTGCTCGGGTTGGGCCTGGTGAGGAAAGCTTAGAGAGATGGCTATGGGCAAGATGCATTGGCTTGAAGAGGAGGCACGGTGGCTGGAAGAGACCTCTTTGCCTCCTTTTCATCCCCAGATGAGACGTGAAGCTACTTCGAACAAGTGTTGCTCCACCGTCTCCACCGTCTCGGCTTTTGGATGCGCAGATGGTCCCCCTTTCTGGGAAGATCCTGTTCCAAGCTCTCCAGGGATTGGGAACTCTTTGCTTAGAGAGGAGTGTACAGCGGTGAAGGGGCCTAGGGGCCCATCTGTCTCAAACTAGCCGTCTACCTACCATCTCTCAGCTTGATCGCATAGTACGAACGAGCCAGGAATGAATTCCATATCTTTCATGTCCGACGTCTCCTTTAGTCACCTTACACCTTTTTGTCCATTTTCAGAGAACGGAACATGTAAGAGTCAAGAGTCCCACGAAGTGCCCGATCGCCGCGGCGTACGAGCTCGTTCGACGTCAGTGCCCACAGACCTCCAGGTGACCTCCCTTGATGTGTCTGACTTCCCTACATGCCACATGAGTGCCACATGAGTGGTCCGTACGCTTGAGGACTTTTTGGGCAGCTGGTGAACCTGTCTTTTAGTACTCCTTTTTGCGGGGATGGAGAACTTCGGCGAGGTCGGGAAAAAACAGATGGTGGAAAATGAACATGCTTGTCAGAGTGAATTGGGTAAGCTCGCGATCCTGGAAAAACCGAAGCTGAGGATGAGTAGCATTGGACGACCAACATTGGGTGGGTCAAACAAAATCTCATATACTCACACAAACGCGCTGGTGTTCAGATTCTTGTCGGTCGCCAAGTCATCCATTCGTTCTTGATGATTAACCTTCTTCTCTCCCAGGTCCAACGAACCAGCAGTCCCACGCGGGCCACCATGCGTTCGGTCTGAGGTCTTGCAAGCTCTGGAGTCCTGCTGTCACGGTTCGGATGGTACGTCCGGGGTTCCCAGTGCTTCGTTCGACCGAGCAGAGGAGGTTCCCACAGCGTTGCTGTCGAGCCACGAGGGGGCGGGCACAGCCCGGCGCCAGGCGACCAAATATAGGTCAACCAACGTTCATCCAACCCCACAGACGTCGGGCGACTTCGCCGTGTACGACGAGGTCCAGGTCCCACGGGTCCCACGGGTCCGATGCCGAGAGGAAGTCATGGAAGGGGACCCTCACAGCTGCAGGTGCGGTCACAGGCTCTCAGGTTGTGTGGGAAAGAAAAGGGGGGTGATCAGATTTTGCCGGTGTCGTAGCGACGCATTGGTGTTTCGATTCGATTTGCCATGCTATCGACGATCGGATCTCACTCTCCTTCGGGTCACCGGGGTAGCCAAGGTCACCTCCGGACGATTTGCTCTACGTCCTGAACTGTTCAGAGGTTGACCTGCCTCAATTCTTAGCCTTGACCAGTCCAGCGCTTAGACCAGTCACTGCCGCGTCACGGCGGAGGCTCTGGAGCTCGAAAACTCCCACGTTACATTAAGCGTTGGGCGTCGCCCGCCACGGAAGGGTTCCTAGAGACGTCCTTCCAGAGAGACGCCTCCCTTTCCTTTGTGGGAGGCTCCGCACGGGCTCGAGCAAGCGCCAAGCGCCAAGCGGCGCTGAACGGGGAGATCGGCCGTCGACCCCGACCGAGGTAGCGATCAGGTCATCCACCTCTTCCGGAAGCACGTGGTGCACATGGACACCGTGACCAAGACGCGGCTGGTGGATGCGCTCCAACGGCAGCACGACTTCTACGTGAACCGGTGCCTCGACAGACGACCCAAACCGGGCGACAGCGCGCGGTGGCGGAGGCTTTCCGGTCAACAGGAGTGGGAGACACAACGGGTGAGGGTGAGGAACCAAATCTCTGAGGCCGGCTCCACGCACTGGTATTGTTTGTTTTGGTCCAGAAGCCTCAGGGACTCTTTTGGAATCTTCTTGTACTATTCACAAGAGGTTCCGAAGGGTTCCGAACAGTCACCTTTCGATGACTCAGAGATCTGGTACTACACTTGCCAGTCCTCGCTCTACCCCCAGTCTTCGCTCTCTATCTACCCAGCTTCCGAGGCTCCAACAGGAGTTGGTGGTGGAGCTGCTGGAGAGCACCGTTGGGGACGAGCTTCGGATGCCCCTCGGGCCGGCGAACGACGAGCCCGAAACCGGGTGAAGTATGGCACTGGCACCACTGCCCCAACAAGTCTATCCGACAGATGGGGGGTCCCTAAAAGCCACCGACTTTGGGGATCATGCCCAGCTACTCGCAATCCACTATAGTTTTGGTGGGGAACGTCAAGAGAGCCCTTTTCGGAGTGCGGGTGTTGCCAAGCTAAGCGGAGCATCATACAGTCATGGCGGATTTGGAAGGACCGCCGACGTTGGTTCTTCGTCTTGAAGGCAAGAGGTTGTGACGCATGAATACATCATCTCACATCCCCTTATTCTCATTGTACAGAACGGTCATTGATGAGTTGATCCATGGGGAGCATCGATCTGGACCCCCCCCAAAATACTCGGGGTGTCGGATCGGCAGAAGGAGCCCTAGGGTCCTAGACCGAGTCTTTGCGTGGAGGCACATGGTCGGACAGTGGCAAGAGTGATTGAAGCACCAGCAAGTGGCTCCCCGGACTGGAGCGACCGGGACACCGAAATCGGATGAAATCGACACCTTTGGATCTTGGGTGCCACGACCTGGAACGTGATAGAGGACCTGGTCACAGCTCGCCAGAGTCTGGTCGTCATGGGTTCTGTTCAACGGGTTCATCGACCAAGTGGTTCATCCTGAGGATGAAAGACATCCTGGACGAGGGTGGAGACTTTTACAACCTACACAAGCTGGTCTTCCACGATCTGGACCCTGAAATGTGCCATGGTCACCGCTGCTTCAGAGTCGTTCTTCGCGCCTTCGCGCTTCCGTCGATCGCACGTTCGTGGGGGGGTGCGATCGCTCGATCGGCGGAGAGAGCGAAGGAAGAGAGCTGACCCGCTGGATTCATCTGGGTAGCACGGCCCAAGGGTCTCATGCGGCCCAAGAAGGGTCTGGAGACCTGGAGGCACAGGTGTGAGTGCCAAGTGGCCAGGCCGCTGCAGAAATGGGTATATACTTTCATGTATATTCTCTCTTAACTTTCTTTCTAACATCTCCATGCAAAAACATATGACAGGTTCCTTTTTCACGAAGCGTGTGTCAAATCGAGGTTTGTGCAGCAGGTCTTTTGGCCTTCTTGAACAGTTCTTTGTATGGTCCCTGGAAGTCCACAAACTATATTATTTTGCTCCACTGAAGTAAAAAAAGTTCCCCCTTGGGGTCACCTAAAGACCACTTGTTTAAAATAGTCCTTGACTCGCAGGGTAATGATCGTCTCAAGATGTCTGAATAGTCAGTCTTGAACCCACCTCTTTAGCCGTTGGCATTTCTGGCTGCACCGAGACGTCCCTTCACCTCAGTCGCACGGGCGTGCTTCGCCTGCCACGGGGTGCTTTCTTCACCGGCCACGCGGTTCAGGTATTCCAAGGCGCTGAGCCATATCCAGAAGGAGGGGCGCCATCTGGCCAAGCAGTACGACCCGGGGCAGGTGGGGGTGACCCCCACAGAAGGGATGGGGGGTGGTGCTTGGATTTCATGCTGAGACACAAAGGTCTCGCCCACATCCACCGTCTCAAAAAAAGGAGGGGGGTCCATGACACCACCAGCGCCTGATCCACCTGACCCACCCGACCCACCTCCTTTAGGACCGGGGTGGGTGGCACCTGCACCGCTCCGATCCGCGGCCCAAGCCCGCGGCCCGGACGCTCGGCTCTGCTCCGCTCCTTCGGCCCGAACGCAGGCGCCCATGAAGATTGTGAGTGACGTGGACGACACCCTCTATGGGAGTGCCCAGGGCGGCAGAATGGGAGAGAAGCGTCTTAAACATCGATGCAGTTACCTTCTCGAGTGACTCAGACAGGCGCAAAAACTATCTCTGTTCATCTCTTCATAGCTCCAAAGACCGGACGAACTCTCTCAGTTTTTGCCAGTCTTGCTGCAGAGAGCTTCTACTTCTACGGGGCTGACAGGGCCGACGATGGTTTCTGACATCCCTTCGAAATTAGTACCGACAACTCAAGGATAGGTGGCCAGTGAAGAATACCAAAGCGATTCCCTTGTCGACTGGACATCCCTTGCACTTGAGCTTGGCGTTTTGAACCTGGTGAAATCCACCAGGTCTTGACTTGTTTTTCGTTCAAACGATCTGTGAGATTTTCAGAGTCATCGGGCGCACTCCCTTGGCTTGGAAACAACCGCGCTTGGCGACGGCAAAGCTGAGACGAGCTGGAAGGCGAGCGATTGGACGAATCAGCGAGGAAGATGGATCTTAGTCAGGCTATCTTACTTTTTAGAGCATCTCAAGGGTTCTATGATCGACATGAGGGGAGCCCTCCAAGACTTGTTGAAGTCACTGGGCAAAGAAGAAAGACCCCCACAGGGTGCTCCAACCGTCCGACGAGTCTTTTTCTTCTTTGTTTCTTTCTTTTTCTTTCGTCGCCTTTTGTGTTCGTGTAGGATCATATTAGGGAGTGTAGGACGAACCAATTCGGCCGCTGCGCAGCCATCGCAGACGATGAGAATTCGATGGCTGCGATGGCTGCGAGCGATGCTCGGGGCCGACGACGTCGTCCAGGTCGTCCACCCGTTCCTTCACACCTTGAGGCGGTGGACACTTCCCCGCGGGCTGCGATCACCGCTTTCCTGGGCATCAGGCGAGCGGTCTGAGCTTCATGCGCACCGAAAGGATTTGGGGTGGTGAGCTGAATATCTTTAGGGCAGGGAAGGTCCATGACGATAATACTCATCATCCTGCAACAAAAAGCAAAGCACTGGAGAATCTTGGTCCTTCTCTGCGAATATCGGGGCTTTTTGGGTGAAAGAACATGGGCATTTCAAAATCTGGCTATATACGTCTAAGTCTAGAGTCTAAAGGCATTAGTGTTGGTCGAAGACTCCTGATAGATTGGCCGGTCCCAAAAGTAGATCAGTCACAACACGCATGGCCGACGTCAGTAGCCATTTTGGCCAAAGATTTGGATAGCATGCAGGATGGCCCCATCTGGCAAGCAGGCCATAGACGAATCTCCCTCAACAGAAAACACAACGAAACATAGCATAGCAGACTTAGCAGACCTAAGAAAACCAAACCTGGTGGCCGTCTACAGTGGGGCCACCCTGATATTAGCCGTGAAAGAAGCTTGACCAGCGCGCCTGTCGCAAGTGCTTTTCACCAATGTCGGCCCCCGGGGGCCTCGCCATCCTTGTGGATGAGAAACGGGTGAATGAACTCTTACAACAGAAGAGCGGGATCAAGGCGAGGGGTCAATGTACCTGTTGAACACATGTTTGTGTATAGATGGCATCATGACAAGAACCGTCTTGAGGTGGTAAACGTACCTGACTTCTCCATAGCTTGGTGTCATCTTCATCTGAGGATATCTGAAACTACAGTCTTGGCATTTGTTGTCACCCCTTGAGTTGAGCCATTTCGACGATTCGAAGGTGTGAGGTCCCTTTCAACGCCGAGGTTCACCGACAGGATGTGGACCACGCGCTCGTGCATGGTCACCACGTGTTTTCGGATCAACTCTTCCTTCCTTTTACACGTGGCTTTTGGATGGCACATGGGACCCCAATTTCCGGATTGACCAGTACTTGGTCGCAGCTGCGTTGCGGAGCGCGTTCCGCTCGTTGCAACACTCGTCGTCGCTTGCGTTGAGCGACTAATTTATGTCGTCGTCCCGGTCAGGCGTTGCTCCGGTCAGCTTTCAACACGATTCTTTTTGTGTGCTTCCTTCTGCTCTTCACCTCCTTAGCCCTCAGCGAGCCACGTGACAAGATGCGAGCCTTCGAAGGCTTCCTGCGGAAGCGTTTCGATGAAGCCTCACCCATTCGACTGAACAGTGTTCATTCAGTGGATAGCTTCTGGAGGTATTTCAACGAATCCTTCCAGCCGGCCATCTATGGTGCAGATACGGCCAGATATTACTTTCCCGGAGCGGTGGTTCCCACCTGGCTTCAGGTGCTGGGGCCCAACTACCTTTATGGCATGGGACGGATGCGCGTGTTGAATGTACAGCCCGACTCGGGGTGCCAGGCGGACCACCCGTGGACGACGGACGGACCGAGTCCGGACCCGAGCGGGATGGAGCGGGTGGACGAGGGCACGGTCGACTTCGGGATGGAGCGGAGCACCCAGAACCCGATTTTCAGAACCCGAAGTGAATCCTTTGAATCTATCGGGGGGGGTTGTTCATCAACTGGTCCGCCAGCACGTTTTTGGGTGGGACCCGAACGGTGGCACCAGGCCAAACCGAGGCCGGTGACACGGAGGTGACCGAGGCCGGTGACGGTGGAGGCAACCAGCTGTGACGCTGGGCGTCAAAGAACGGTAGAAGCTCAGGAACCGGTTTTTGGCCTCTAAAGAGAGAGAGAGAGAGATCATGTATGATCATGTGACGTATTGACCATATCATAATATCTATACATTTCTCTTGTTTGGAGAAGCGTCCACGCTTTTAAAGAGTATAGAAAGACATGGAAAGACGATGGTAACTGACTCGTTTTGATCGAGAACATCCGAACAAAACGTCTGTTGGACTCCCACGTTGAACAGAAAACCCCGCCGGACGTCTGTTGCTCCCGCAGGTGGCGCAGCAATACCGGAGCTATTTTCCCACGTGCTACGGCGCCTTCGACATTGATGCGATGGATCGTGAGTCCTTTGGGCCTCCCAACGAAGAGGGGGTTCCAAGCTATGATTTCTCCCGTGAGACGCCTGGGTTTGCTTAGTTACTTTCTTTTTTGTTTCTATGTAATTGCTGAATTTGGGGTTCTCATGCTCCCTTTTCAGCAAATCCGAGGTTGAGTATGGAGAGACATGAAGGCTACCTAGCCACTTATCCCTCTGGAGGCTATATGGAGATGTTTACTCCAGACTACCCGACCACGCACGACAAATTCCTGCAGATGCAACAGGATGGCTTCATCAGTGAGAAGACTCGCGCGATCTTTTTGGAATTCACCATCTACAATTTCAACCTCGGCCTTTATGGAGTGAACCGGATTGTATTTGAGGTTGCAGCTGCTGGTGATTGGACACAAACCTATGAAATTGATGTCCTCTTACAGAGGCACTTGCAGCCCTTGGGCACAGGAACAGCCGAGGATTGGCTCATTTTGATTTTGGAGGCAGGCTTGGTGCTCTTCGTTCTGCGCTATGTCTTGGAGGAAGCATCCGAATTCGTGGGCGTGGAGTC